AGTCTGGGCTGGCATCCTTGTTCCCTTAGCGTTTGTAGGACATCTGACCAGGATCTTCTGGCTTTCATCGTTTCCATTGAGAAGTCAGGTGTAATTCGGATAGGTCTGCCTTTGTATGTTACTTGGCCTTTTTCTTTAGCTGCTCTTAATATTTTCTCTTTGCTCTGTAGGTTTGATGTTTTGATTATTATATGGCGAGGTGACTTCTTCTTCTGGTCAAGCCTATTTGGTGTTCTGTAAGATTCTTGTACTTTCATAGGCATATCTTTCTTTAGGTTAGGGAAGTTTTCTTCTATGATTTTGTTGAATATGTTTTCTGTACCTTTAAGTTGAAGTTCTTCACCTTCTTCTATACCTATTATTCTCAGGTTTGGCTTCTTCACGGTGTCCCATATTTCCTGGATATTTTGTGTTAAGGATTTGTTGGTTTTGAGATTTTCTTTGGTTGACGATGCTATGTCCTCTAATGAGTCTTCAACACCTGAGATTCTCTCTTCTATCTCTTGTATTCTATTGGTGATGCTTGCATCTGTGATTCCAGACCGTTTACCGAGCTTTTCTATTTCCAGCATCCCTTCATTCTGTGTTTTCTTTATCGTTTCTATTTCAGCTTTCAATCCTTCAACTGTTTGAGCTGTTTCCTTAATTTTCTTGGTTGTTTTTTCTTGGTGCTCTTTAGATTCTTTGAGAGATTTGTTTATTTCTTGAATTTTTCCCCCATTTCATGGATTTTTTTGTTTGTTTTTTCTTCTATTTCTTTAAGGGATTTCCTCATTTCTTCCTTGAGGCTCTCCATCATCTTCATGAAATAATTTTTAAGGTCTGCCTCCTCTTCTTCATCTATGTAGTGCTTTTCAGGTCTTGCTGGTGTTGGATCCCTGGATTCTGGTGGGGTCGTGTTGGTGTTTCTATTGCTGAGTGATCTCTTATTCTGTCTTCTTCCCATCTCTTCTTCCAGTGGGTGCTGGTGGGGGCTTTCTGTCTCCACTGGTCTCCTTCTTTACTGCAGCTGAAGCTGAAGCTGGCCTCGCTGGGGTTGGGGTCTTGGAGGGGCTGATCTCTTTCCTGTGTGGGTGGCTCTTCTGAACCTGGGCTCGCTGGGTTGGGGTCTTGGAGGAGCTGATCTCTTTCCTGTGTGGGCGGCTCTTCTGGAAGCCGGGAGCGGCCCCGAAGATGGAGGGGGATGGGTGATGGGCGGGTGGTCCCAGCCAGAGACCCAATCTCACCTGAAGCTGGACTCGCTGGGTTGGGGTCTTGGAGGAGCTGATCTCTTTCCTGTGTGGGCGGCTGTTCTGGAAGCCGGGAGCGGCCCCGAAGATGGAGGGGGATGGGTGATGGGCGGGTGGTCCCAGCCAGAGACCCAATCTCACCTGAAGCTGGGCTCGCTGGGTTGGGGTCTTGGAGGAGCTGATCTCTTTCCTGTGTGGGCGGCTCTTCTGGAAGCCGGGAGCGGCCCGAAGATGGAGGGGATGGGTGATGGGCGGGTGGTCCCAGCCGGGGACCCTATCTCACCTGAAGCTGGGCTCGCTGGGTTGGGGTCTTGGAGGAGCTGATCTCTTTCCTGTGTGGGCGGCTCTTCTGGAAGCCGGGAGCGGCCCCGAAGATGGAGGGGGATGGGTGGTGGGCGGGTGGTCCCAGCCAGAGACCCAATCTCACCTGAAGCTGGACTCGCTGGGTTGGGGTCTTGGGGAGCTGATCTCTTTCCTGTGTGGGCGGCTCTTCTGGAAGCCGGGAGCGGCCCCGAAGATGGAGGGGGATGGGTGATGGGCGGGTGGTCCCAGCCGGGGACCCAATCTCACCTGAAGCTGGGCTCGCTGGGTTGGGGTCTTGGAGGAGCTGATCTCTTTCCTGTGTGGGCGGCTCTTCTGGAAGCCAGGAGCGGCCCCGAAGATGGAGGGGGATGGGTGATGGGCGGGTGGTCCCAGCCAGAGACCCAATCTCACCTGAAGCTGGACTCGCTGGGTTGGGGTCTTGGGGAGCTGATCTCTTTCCTGTGTGGGCGGCTCTTCTGGAAGCCGGGAGCGGCCCCGAAGATGGAGGGGGATGGGTGATGGGCGGGTGGTCCCAGCCGGGGACCCAATCTCACCTGAAGCTGGGCTTGCTGGGTTGGGGTCTTGGAGGAGCTGATCTCTTTCCTGTGTGGGCGGCTCTTCTGGAAGCCGGGAGCGGCCCCGAAGATGGAGGGGGATGGGTGATGGGCGGGTGGTCCCAGCCGGGGACCCAATCTCACCTGAAGCTGGGCTCGCTGGGTTGGGGTCTTGGAGGAGCTGATCTCTTTCCTGTGTGGGCGGCTCTTCTGGAAGCCGGGAGCGGCCCCGAAGATGGAGGGGGATGGGTGGTGGGCAGGTGGTCCCAGCCAGAGACCCAATCTCACCTGAAGCTGGACTCGCTGGGTTGGGGTCTTGGGGAGCTGATCTCTATATTCCTTATATTTTCATATTCTATCAAATCTGCATTGAATTCTGCTGGGACTAATTTCTTTCAGTTTGTTTTGTTTTGTTTGTATAACAGCCTTGGCTGTCCTGGAACTCAATCTGTAGATCAGGCTGGCCGCAAATTCAGAGATAGGCCTGCCTCTGCTTCCCAAGTGCTGGGGGAATTAAAGGTGTGCACAAGCACCAGCTTCATGGGACAAGTTTCTAAACAGCTCTAATCACAGGGGCAAACTCCACTTTCTTGAATAGGCAAGTGGTAGAATGGAGGAATTATAAATCACGGATGAATTTAAGTTTGAGGAGCCTTGTAATTGCCACAATAGCATGGGAACACGGCAGAGTATCCTTCTGTGACCATGCTGGCAACCATAAGACAAATGAAAAGACCTAAAATGTATAGACATGGGTAGATACCCACAACAGAATTTGAGAGCATGGCCTTATGCAGAGCAGCAGATAAACTAGTCTAACCCCTGGTTAGCTTCCTGATGCCCGTTTCCCTGTCCTGCAGCTTCACTGGGTTTCAGGTTCCCCCGCAGCACTGCTGACTGATAACTCTCAGACGCCACACAGGGTGTCCTGCAGCTGAGCGGAGCTTTCCTGTGCCGACAAGCTATTCAGATACCATGTGTTCTTTGTTTGGTTTTGAAAGAGGTAGATCCTAGAGGTCTCTCGGAGAACGCTGGGTTTTCCAGTCCATAATACCCTGGTTCAGGTAACAAAGCGCCTATAATCTAGATCTCACCATGCACTTGCATGGGTACTTCTGCCGCACGCTTTTTTTTTTTTTTTTTTTTTTTTGGTTTTTCGAGACAGGGTTTCTCTGTAGCTTTGGAGGCTGTCCTGGAACTCGCTCTGTAGACCAGGCTGGCCTCGAACTCACAGAGATCCACCTGCCTCCGCCTCCCGAGTGCTGGGATTAAAGGCGTGTGCCACCAACGCCCGGTGTGCATGGGTACTTCTGAAATGTCCAAGCCCACACAATCTCTGCTTCATTTCCCTGTCACTCCTTAGATCATGCGATTGCCTCAGCCTCAGTGATACCCCATCTGCCCCACTACTTTCTACATAGCTCAAGCCGTCAGGCTGGCCCAGCCTGCCCCACCCAGATCCCCAGGTGTTGCTACCATACACCAGAACTGTGTTTACAGATGAGTACAGAATGAAGAAAACAATATCGTATGAGGAGTACAGCAAGGTCAGACATCTTCAATGTACATAGGTCTACAAATTGACCATTGGAAATCTGTGATGACTTTCATATTATAATAATATAGTGTCATTGAGCAGAGGCATCTTGATCCACAGAACACCCAATACTGGCATCTTGGGCATCTGTTGAGCTGGTTGCATTCTCAAGATTGCTAAAGGTCATTTCACAAGACTAAATTTCCATTGTATCCTGCATTAGACTAATAGGCCTAATGCAGCAACAATTGGTACAAATTATTACAAGGTCTTTTACCAACAAGGGCCTTTCACCACCAAGAGCCTAAATATACTCAAGATTGAACTAACCATTTGCATTCATGTTTCAACAAATTCTAATACTGAATACACCAAATGTTCTCAAACAATACTTTTAGTTGAATATGACTATCCTCTTGTAATAAGACCCACAAAACACTTATGTAGTGGCATGGTTTTGTTCATTGTAACATGGTACCTTGTCTAATGTCTAAAACTTTTCAGTCTTGCTGTTTTTAGTATCAATACTCTAATATAGTACTTTGAAACTGGACTAAATACTTCACGTTTTCAGTACTTCAAAATGATCTCCCAGCACACCTTTGGAGATTTCTAAGCTGTGTATGAGCATGTGCATATTTTCTCCCTCACAGGTCATCTCTAAAGCTTCATAGTCCCTTAATATTTGTATGGATGCACTCACACATGAGATTAAGCAAATATTTGCCTTTACTAAATCATTTTCTTTAGTTTTATTTATTGCATTTTCTGATGTCTGCATATTAGCACTGTATAAAAGATTTAACAAAAAGAATTTGATTCATTTGTTGAGGCTTGGAGAAAGGAATTTCTAATATACAACAGGATTCAAGGATAGCAAAACAGTGTTCAGTTTTTAGCCATGGACATCAGTGTTCTGAGGGTCACTGGAGTTTGACTAAATTATGGAGTCTAAGCATGAATTAGTGACCACGCACAGACATAGCCTAGTTTGGATGATGTCTTTCCATAACACATGCTTGTACCCATAGAAAATATGTCCCACTGCAGACCTCTCACTCTCTTCCATGAATGCAAGGGGGAAGAGTTGCCTTCCTTCTTAGGCTACCTAAGCCTTGACATTCTGTGTTGAGCCCTTTCAATGACATCATGTGCTACCAGAGTGCATGCCTTGAGCAGTAAGCACAAGCAATCTTCCCTACCTTAGTTGACCCAAATGCTTTCTCGCTAATGTTGCTTTTCTGGTATACAAGTTTGGAGGAACAATTAATGGGTTCAGCACATGTTGTATGAGAGAATTTTCCTGACAACATTTATATACACTCACTCAAAATGGAAATGGACAAGAGAATCAAGTATGCTTACCCCCGAAATACATCGTGTTGAACCAACAGCCTTTATTGGGGTTACTTGCACAAATAATGGGAATGGAGTTGCTTACAGGGACAAAAGTGAAAGACAGTTGTCATCATGAAATGCCAAGCCAGCATGAAATACAGCTTATGAACATTGGACATCCAGCGAATACTACACACCTGCAGGCATACCTTTATGTCAAAGGGCATTGTATCTTACTGGCTCAATTCATCAAAGCCTCTTCTAAACAGAAAGACTGGTTTAGGCTTCTTCAACAGAATTAAACACAGTGATTCCTGACAGTTTCAGGGACTTCACGAAGCTATTTTATTGATTTATTTACTGTCTTAATCAGCTTCCCTACAAGATGAAATGTTTCAGGCTCCAGAAAACTGCCAAACAACAGCACATTCTTCAGGTTTCTCCATTTTGTATTCATAATGAATTATTTGAAGGTGAGAAAGCAAAATGTTTTAATGAAAATTTTCCTGCAATATCACATTTGCAGAATTTTTCCTCAGTATAAAGTATGGATTTTGTTTTCTAAGATTCGAACATTATTCAGAGGCTTTCACACATTTCTCATGTACATATTGATTCCCCAGTGTGGATGCTGTAATGGCTCATAAGGGCAGAGTTTGGATAAAGCATATGCCATATGACTTTCAATGGAAAGTTTTTTCTTTAGTATGTATTTTCTGATGTTTTCTTAGACCTGAGAGACAGGTAAAGAGTTTGCCATATACATTGCATTTATAAGGTTTCTCTCCTGTATCAATTCCTTGATGAGTTCTAAGGTTGGCTTTCTGGATAAGGAATTAGTCAAATTTACTGTATCGGTAAGGTTTCTTCCAGTATGAATTTTCTGATGTTTTCTAAGAACTGAGCCACCAGCAAAAGATTTATCACACTCACTACACTTGTAAGGCTTCTCGCCTGTATGAAGTCTCTGATGTGTTCTAAGATGGTCCTTCTGGATAAAGCATTTCTCACAGTAACTACATTTGTAAGGTTTCTCTCCTGTATGGACTTTCTGATGAGTTCTAAGATTTGCTTTCTGGATGAAGCATTTCCCACACTCGCTACATTTGTAAGGTTTCTCTCCCGTGTGGATTCTCTGGTGTCTTCTAAGGTGGGCTTTCCGGATGAAACATTTGTCACATTCGGTGCATTTGTAAGGTTTTTCTCCAGTGTGACATTTCTGATGCTTCCTAAGATCTGAGCCAACGGTGAAAGATTTCCCACATTCATTACATGTGTAAGGTTTCTCCCCTGTGTGGATTCTCTGATGAGTTCTAAGATTGGCTTTCTGGATGAAGCATTTCTCACATTCACTACATTTGTAAGGTTTCTCTCCTGTGTGGATTCTCTGGTGTCTTCCAAGGTTGGCTTTCCGGATAAAGCACTTGTCACACTCAGTGCATTTGTAAGGCTTCTCTCCAGTGTGAATTTTCTGATGTGTTCTAAGATCTGAGCCAACAGTAAAGGATTTCTCACATTCACCACATTTGAAAGGTTTCTCTCCCGTATGGATTCTCTGGTGTTTTTTAAGCTTGGCTTTCTGGATAAAGCATTTGTCACACTCAGTACATTTGTAAGGTTTCTCTCCTGTATGAATTTTCTGATGCATTCTAAGATCTGAGCCAACAGTAAAGGATTTCTCACACTCGCTACATTTGTAAGGTTTCTCCCCTGTATGAGTTTTCTGATGTCTTCTAAGGTGGGCTTGCTGGATAAAGCATTTGTGACACTCACTGCATTTGTAAGGTTTCTCTCCTGTGTGAATTCTCTGATGTATTCTAAGGGATGCACCAACAGAAAAACATTTCTCACACTCACTACATTTGTAAGTCTTCTCTCCTGTGTGAATTTTTTGATGTGTTTTAAGTTGGGACTTCTGGATAAAGCACTTGTCACACTCATCACATATGTAAGCCTTTTCGCCTGTATGAATTCTTCTATGTCTTTGCAGACCTGAGGAGGTGGAAAGGGATTTACCACATTCATTGCATCTATAAATTTTCTTTCCTCTGTGAGTCCTGTAATGGTATTCAAGGTGTGACAATGTATAGAAGGACTTACTACATTGTTTACATTCATAAGGTCTTCCTCCTCCACCAATATTCTGATATTTTCTAAGACCTAAGCAGCAGATAAACGGTTTTCTACAATCATTACATTTGTAAGTCTCCTCTCCAGTGTGAATTCTGTAACGTCTTTTAAAGCCCAATGTATAATAAAAGCACTTGCCACATTCTGTACATTTGTAGGATTTTTCTCCATAATGGATGTTGTAATGTACTTTGTGGTGTGACAAATAGAGAAAGGAGTTACTACAGTCTGTAAATTTATAGCGTTTATCTCCAGGGTGAGTTCTCTGATGTCTACTGAGGCTGAAATAGGTCCTGAAATATTTTCCACATTTCCTGCATTGGTATGGTTTTTCTCCACTATGGATTTGTTGCACCTTTAGTTCATGGTTATAGTCAAAAAATTCATCATACTCTGTAATTTTGTGTTCTTTCTTCGCAGTTTGGATTCGTTGATATTGGTTAATAATAGGGCACATATTTAAACACTCCCCATAATCTTGATGTCTGTATTGTTCTTCCGCAGTGTTCCCAAACCTTGCGTTTGATGATTCAATAGAGGCATCCCTATGGTTACCACTTCTGTAGTCCTTGCAATTTTCTGTAGTACCACTTACGTTATAAGGCATATCTTGGGAGGATTCATGAATCGTTTTGTCAAGCTCATACCATTTGTCACACATCTCTTGGGTATTCACATGCTGATGGACAGTATGCTTTGAGCCTTGATCCAAGACCTTCTCATATTTACCACATATGCAATGGTTCTCTGGAAAATTAGCACAGTTAGGGACAATAAGGATTGATGCTTGATGAAACAGATTCAATAACTGATGCATTCTGAAGTTCTCTAAGACAAACAAATTAGCAATTCTTAGGATTAGAACTCTCACTGGAGGCCTTTTGTGTTTCACTATCATTAAATGGATGCTCAAAAGAACCTCCACTCTGATTTCCATCCAACAAACCAGAAGGACCACATTCTTACCTAATCTGCATACCTTGCTGAAGGTTGAACAAACAGGTGATGCAGCAATAATGTACTTTGAGAGAGGAGCTCTCTTAACAATCACATGGAGAATGCTCCTCTCTCCCTTTTCGCTGTTTGTATTTTTGAGAGAATTACACTGTGTAGCCTTCATTCCCTGGAACTCACTATGTAACACAGGCTGGCCTGGAACTCATCAGACCTACTTGCTTCATCCTCCCTAGTAATAAGATTAAAACCATGCTGTGCCAGGACTAGAGATTGTATTTCAAAAAAATTTTTTTTTGGTTTTACAAGACCCTGTTTTGTTTTGGAGGCTGTCGGTCCAGCCCGACCTCGAGGGTTTCTCTGTATTGTTTTGGAGGCTGTCGGTCCAGCCCAGCCTCGAACTCACAGAGATCCGCCTGTCTCTGCCTCCCGAGTGCTGGGATTAAAGGCGTGTGCCACCACCGCCCGGCTTCAAAAAATTTTTTAAAAAGGGCGAAACCAATCACATGCACACCACCAACAGCTTTCTCTATTTGAAAACCTCCCCATTTTTAAAAATCAGAAATAGGTGACTAGTTTAATCCAAGAATAAAATTGAAATATCCCAACAAGCAAGTGTTGCACTGCAATGTACTTCCTTGCTTTGGATATTCAATTTTCTTTGAACACTTTAGTTAGAATTTAAAAAATGTATGAGAGCATTGGAGATATTGTACAGTATAAAGCATTGGTTGTTTTTGCTGAGAAGACTGAAAAATGTTTTATCTGGTCATCCCAAGATAGGTCAGAGAAGTTTACACAATGACAAAGTAGATAAATACAAAGGAGGAGGGAGGAATTGTACAAGAAATGCATTCTTACCTACAAAAACTAGATTGCTGTAATTCTCCCACATTACGTCCATGTACAAAGCCCTTTGAGAAGAGTCTAGACATTCCCACTCTTCCTGGGAAAAGTCCACAGACACATTGCTGAATGTCAGCAGACCCTGCAATGGAAAATTACCCAATTACCATGTGCTGCTGGACAAAATGGTTTCTTAGGTAAGAGACCTAAGGAATTAGAGATACTGTCATGATATAGATGAGGTGTCAAAGACAAAAGTTTTCTAACGATGCTGAAGAGATGGTTCAGAAGTTAAGAGCACTGGTAGTTCTTCTGGAGGACCCAAGTTCGGTCTCCAGCACCCACATACAGTAGATTATAATTTCAGTGCCATCAGATCTAATGACCTTTTATGATCTCTATAGGAGAGATGAATACATATTACTCATGCAAACATTCAGGCAAATAAAGTAGAAGTGAAAGTTAATTTTAATAAACGATACAGTCTGGAATCCTCATACTCTTATGTTATATTTTCTATTTCTAAGAAAAAGGGATGACAGTAGAATTATAATCAGCAAACTCCGAGGGCATATGAGATACACATTGGACGTCTAGATGCAGGAGTATACCTTATTGAAAATTGTGTTGATATTTGTGTTTTTGAGTGTGTTTTTATTTAAAAATTTGTTTTCATTTTATATACTAACCCAAGTTCCCTCTCCATTCCCTACTCCTATCCTCCCTGCCCCCACCCACTCCTCAGAGGAGGTAAGGCCTTCGGTGGTGAGTCATCGAAGTCTGGCATATGACGTTGAGGCAGGATCAAGCCCCTCTCCCAGTATCAAGGCTGAGCAAGGTATCCTACTATAGGGTAAGGGCTCCAAAGGCCAGTTCATGCACCCAGGATAGGTCCTGGTCCCACTGCCAGTGCCCCGAACCCGCAACAGATCAAGTCACCTTCAGTATTATGGCAAAAGCACACCATATATGCATTCCTTCATCTGTGTTCTCTAGGGGCCTGAAATATTTACTAGTAGGATTCAAGACTCTGAGTCTCTTCTAGTTCTGTTTTTCCTTAAATTGCCCAGCGATGTAAGTCAAAAGTTCCATGTATTTCTAGGGATACCTTCATAAGATGGTTCTAGAAACCTTATCATCCCTGAAATACAACCTATGTGGCACATGAGATCTTCCTTCCTCACTTTAATATATAAGGACACAAGTCCACCCTCTGTAGGTACTGGGCATCAATATACTTCTTTAACGATCATTACAATGGAATTTCGTCCTAAGTGCACGAAAAATGTATGTCCTCAGAGTAACAATCGTGGTAGGATACAATGAAACAAGGCATAGGTGACAAAATTTAAGAGGTCAGTCTTAATTATCAGAAAAGGCAAGGAAGAAAAACAATCATAGGAAATCAACACTTTACCAGAGACAGGGAATTTAAGGGGTGCATGATTCCAATGAAAAAAGATTTTTCAGTCTTGTCTCTTGTCTCCTGCCTCCTCTTTCCTCTGTCACCTCTTGCTGTCCTTACTGCAACATGGCCTTTCACTCTTTTGTTTTGCCTGTCTCCCAATAAACCTCATGAACTAACTGTTGTATGTGGCATGTTTGCTTAGTGGCATACATGGGTAGGGCTGCTGAAAGGTACCCACTTCTCCTTTCATTTTGATCCTTTCAATGGTGCCAAGACGTAACAGGCTAATCCTACCTGTCCCGTTCTACCCACAACAAATCTGCTCTCTTCTACCTGCAACAGATCTGCTTTTCTGTTTACCAACGGCTTTGCCTGCCATTCAAAACTGGCAATTGGGTCTCTGCTTGGGTTCCTGCCTGTGGCCATTGCCTGGATTTGAGGCTTTATTTCTTGAACACAGTCCCCACCAACTCACTTTTCTTCAAGTCCTGGTAACAGGCAACTCTGCCTCTCTTGGGCTCAGTGCCCTGCCCTGTTCTTGCGTGATGATGTACTGACAGCTTGTGCCTGCTCTGTTCCATCCTCCTTGGAGACCTTGGGATGCCTTAGGCACTCAAGTTTTGGACTTCTCTCTGCATCATCCTTGGGAACCGTGTCATACACCTCACTCCCATTGGGAAGTCTTCTGGAGACCATCTGACTCCTTTCAAACCAAATGTGGCTTCAGGATACCTTGGACCAGGTGGTCGGGGAACTGAGAAAGAATTCTCCATATTCTTCCCTTTTCTTTGCTCAAGGACATGCCTGTTTCTGTCTGCTCTCCCTCTCTCAACTTTGTAATGTTCGGTTTGTATGTTTGTTTGCAATGTGAGAGTCAGAGACAGAGTCCAGCTTCATCTTGCTAAGCACTCACCACCTCACCCCTGCAGTATCTGGTGATCTAATCCTCAGTAAGGTATGTATGGACTATTTGTCCGTGCGTGAATCCCATTCCAAATTTTAAGAGTCTGATTCTTCCTGCATTACTTTCCACGTGGACACATGTGCCTGTATAGCTCATGCAGTCTGCTACACCCACGTGGACATTTCTTCTGCTTTCTCCCACCTCCCAGCAGCCCGGGGGGATGCACAGCTCAAGCTCCAGTCACTGTATTCTCCACGTGGCTCCTGTGGAATGCTGGTCCATGTGCTCCCCTTCCTTCTGCTCCTTCCTGGCTTTCTCTCACCCAGCAGCCAGACTGCAGACCCACTGTGTTATCTCAGCTTCTGCCTGCAATCCTGCCGCTCGTTCAACTCCCTCTTGGAACTCAGAGGACCACACTTGCAGAGTGTCTGTGACTATCTTGGTCTCAGTACAAACAATGGTCAAAATTGACAAATTTGCCTTCCGAATTTTCACAAATCGTCAACAACTGCTATTGCCACAGACAAAGGGACCCTTATATGTTATACCTGAACATGCTCTGCTACACTTCCAAAGTCCCTTTCCTCTAAGGCTCTACTTCCCCACTCCTAAACATCGTTTATCTCTACAATGTCTTTGGACTCTGCTATCACAAAAATAACGACATCTTAAGATTATGCTCTAATATTGACCTCAGGATTTGTAAATTATACATGGGATATGTTTTTTTAAACAAAATTTGGCTTTAAACATAACAAAAGGCTTATAATTAAAATTCTACACATGGGTATATTCATCTGATTCAGCTCCTGTTTAAGATATGTATGTGTGTGTACATGTATGTGATTTGGATTTAACTCTATATATGTATAAAAGTAAGCTGGATTTAACTGTGTGTATATATATATATGACTTGGCTTCAACCCTGTGCATATATGTCCATGTAACTTACATTCACCTAGGGTTTAGGAAAACGTGTTTTAAATAGCAACCACGTGGCTCTCCTCCATCTGGAACCTCATTATGATGTAGGTGGCCACATGGCTGGCAACCATCTTTTACAAAGGTTAAAGAGTACATATCGTATAAAACTTCTTAGTCCTAATGAGATCTCTGATCATGGTACCTCTTTTTAAACTAAGGATCAAATAGTATGGATTGGTATAGTCCTTATATGATGGTAGAAATGTAAGGTTATATTTGGCACACCATACTGTATATGTGACTCAACTCTAGTTTAGAATATACTCTATAGGGTGATAAAAATTTAAGGTTACAAAGATCTACTCAGAGTAGCAAAAGCTGACTTAGAGATAATATACCTAAGCACTTATGTCTGGTAGTGTTCACTTCAAGCTTCTAGAGAATTTAGATAAATGGCAACGTGCGTTTGATAAATATATTTGACAAATAGGACATATATTCTATAACCCTCCGAGAGGGTTCTTTTCCCAAGGCTGGGCATTTGGGCAGGGGCCCCAGGGCTTTTCAAGGGCAGCGCTGGCCTCTGGGCTCCCTCAGTCCCTGCTTACCGGCCCCTCCCTCCCTAGCTCACAGGCCCAGTACTAGTCTTCCCCTTTGGCCCTGGGGATCTTTCCCTTTCACATTTCCTTGCCTTCTCAGGAGGCCGCCTTAGCAGCTTGGAATAAACCTGTTCTGTTTTCACCACAGAACAGCTGTTTTAGATAACCATTATGTATGATGGAAAAGTTTGATTTTGACACTAGAAGAATATCAATTCAAAGTCTTTTTTTTTTTTTTTTTTTTTTTGGTTTTTACGAGACAGGGTTTCTCTGTATTGTTTAGGAGGCTATCGGTCCAGCCCGGCCTCGAACTCACAGAGATCCGCCTGCCTCTGCCTCCCGAGTGCTGGGATTAAAGGCGTGCGCCACCACCGCCCGGCTCAAAGTCATTATTTTAAAGGCTAAACCTCACAGGAATGGAACATAAAGTCCTAGTTTTATAAAAGCTGTTGAGGATAATTAAGAAATGAAAGTTAGTGGTCAGTCACCTTAAACAGAAATAGAATGTAAAGTCCTAGTCTTATATAGGTGCTAACTTATTGTAGATTGTTAAGGAACCCAAGTTAACAAATAGTCAGTTACCTTATAAATAATCGAATTCTTTCATTATAGTCATGTTAAGTACCAATATATTTAATTACATGGATGAGCCTTACTTGGTCCCCTGCGTATGTTTTCAACATTAAGCTTAAAACAAATAACTAGAAGTAAGCAAAGTCTGTCTATTCAGATATACCTAGTATGTAGAAGGTCCTCAAACGCTTCAGAGCTTTGCAGAATATGGCATTTAAAATGTGTAATAAAAAAGCTTTTCAGGATAGAGAGACGTACCAGATCCTGGCCACTCCCCTATCTCTTCCAAAGAAGATGGATGGGGACCTCTATCCTGGGGCTTGCTTCAAATGTGGCAATTCCAGTCACTGGGGCAAAAAAACTGCTGCCAAGACTCTGCTCAGACCATGGACAATAAGGGACATTTGGGCAATCAACTGCCCTGCTTTGCCTAGACAAGGCCGTGTCCCCTCCTCCCCTGCCAAGTTCCTACTGCATAGGAAAGTCTGTCAGATCTTCTGAACCTGGAAGTTACAGACTGATGCTGCCCTGAAACCTCTGCCTCCAACAACCACAGAGGACCTTAGGATAACTATCTAGGTAGATAGTAAGTCTCTGTATTTTTAGTAGGTTTGGGAGCTGCTTGCTCATCACTTTCGCCTGCTCAGGTGAAATTTCTCCTTCTCAGAACTCACGTGTTTAACGACCAGGCTAGTATAGCTTTGTCAGTTTAATGGCTGCATCCAGGGCCCTATGCTGCTTTCTATTCTCTTCATGTGTAAATGTCAGGCCACAGGTCTCTGCCTTCTAGAGATAGGACTAGACACAGTTTACCTTGTGACCAGACTTAGAAAAAGAGATAAACTCACAGAACGGATTTCAATGTAAATTTTTACCATTCCTTTATTGAAAGGAAGTCTGTCTACAGTGACTGCCCTCGATAATCAACCACCTGTATCTCCTGGTGAATTAGGAGGAAGGTGCCAAGGTGTGTAAGTGGCTGACGGAACCTCTCTCCCTCATTCCCAGGCTTGACTGAGATCCTGATCTTCAGTGCACAGGCTCTGTCTTCCTACAGGGTTGAATGTGGAAGGCTGGAGATACGAGCTCTTCATGGAGTGAAACTTGACTTAGGAGAAACAGACAGAGGAAGCAGCCAGAAACAATGTCCATGTCTGCTTAATTCCAGTTACTCCCCTGAGGGGCATTTCTCTGTCATTCCAGTGTCTCCGATGTGGAGCATGGAGGAACCCTTCCATGTGTTAAATCCCCCGAGTAGCTTTATATTGTTGACATGTGAGTTGGCCATGTCAAGGACCAATGTCTCAGCCCAATGATAGTGTCAAAGCTCAGAGGAATGCAAAGCCTTCCTTAGATCTGAGTGTCAATGTAGACATGTTGTGGAGAAGATGTCCACCACAGCTTTCTTCCCACGATGAACAGCTTTCTCCCTGGGATGTTTACTACTTGAAGACTGTAAACTTGCCTCCTTATTTATCTGCATATAATAAACACACTGAGTTTCCAGGGCTGCTGTGGCTTCTACACCAGAGGACCCACACCATCAAGAAAATTTCTTTCAAAAAAGTGTGGGCATGACACTGACCTGGGGTGCATTTACAGAAGAATCATCCATTCTTCCTGTTGCTCTTCTCGGAGTTTCTGTCTCAGGAACAAACACCCAAACTCTTCTTCACATTTCACATCAAGGTGGAAAAAGGAAAAAGTTAAAATTAATACAATCCTGTTACAGACAATGCTACATAACATTCAGAAAACACCCAAATGGAAAAGATACCAGAGGTATCATCAACATTCTTATGGTTAGGAAAGCTTGGAAGGATATATTTAGAGGGATGAGAGAAAATAACTGTAGGTCTTATAATTGCCTCAAGATCATGGGTAGTCAGGAACCCCTGAAACCCAGCTGCAGAAAAAGGAGGAGTGATGAGCAAAAGAATAAAGACCAGGCTGGTAAAACCACAGAGACAGCTGACCTGAACAAGGGGAAGCTCACAGATCCCAGACTGGTGACTGAGAAGCTAGCATGGAACTGATCCAGACCCCCTGAGCATGGGTGTCTGTGAGGAGGCCTCAGCAACCTATGGGGCCTCAGGTAGTAGATCAGTATTTATCCCTGGCGTACAAATGGACTTTGGGAGCCCATTCCACATGGAGGGATACTCTCTCAGCCTAGACACATGGGGGAGGGCCTAGCCTCTGCCAGGGATGATATGACAGACTTTGGAGATCCCCCATGGAGGACCTCACCCCCCCTGGGGAGAGGAGGTGGGCTTGGGGTCTGGGTTTGGGGGTCAGGTGGGGGCGGGGGAGGAGGTGAGGGAGAGGGAGCCGGGATTTACATGTGAAGCAAGCTTGTTTCTAATTTAAATGAAAAAAAAAGTGGGAAAAAAAGGAGGGTGCAGATCTAAACAGAGAATATTCTACAGAGGAAACTCAAATGGCTGAGAAAGACTTGAAGAAATAAAGAAATGTTCTATGTCCTTAGCCATCAGGGACATGAAAATGAAAACTACTTTGAGATTCCATCTTAACCCTGTCAGAGTGGCTGAGACCAACAACACAGATTACAGCGCATGCTGACAAGGATGTGGAATAAGGGGAACACCCTTTCACTGCTGGTGGGAGTGTGAATTGGTACAGCCACTATGAAAATCAGTATGGAGGTCCCTCACAAAGTTGGGAATCCATGGGCCTCAAGATCCAGCTATATCACCATCATGTATATAATAAATGGCACTTCATCCTACCACAAGGACACTTGCTTTTAATCATGTTCATTTCTGCTCTGTTCATAATATCCAGAAACTGGAAACAAGTTAGATGGCTCATACCAGAAGAATAGATAATGTAAAGGTGGTACATATACACAAGGAAATATTACTCAAATGTTGAAAAAAATGACATTATGAAATATGCAGGGTTATGAATGGAACTCAAAAAAAAAAAACATCCTGAGATCGCCCAGGTCCAGAAAGATAAATATCATATGTATTCACTTATATGTGGATATTAGCCATTAAATAAATGATAAACAAGCTACAATCCATAAACCCAGAGAAGTTAGGCATAGAGGCAGGGACAGGGGGGACACAGGGATCTTTCTGGGAGAGGAAAATAGAATAGATTTAATGGGTGGACTATGGACAGGGCAAGACACCAATTGAAGGATCATGTGGGGATGTGGAAGAGAGATATGGTTAACAGAGGGAATACTGGGAGTCAGAATTAAGGGGCATTTGAAGGATGGTATGGAAACCTAGTACAGTGGAAACTCCCTAAAATATATGAAGATGAATGATCCATTAATGAGGTATCCTAGTGATGTTGGTGACTAAATCCCATCTGGCCATCTCTTTTTACCAAACCACTCTCCAGTACCAGAACTGGGTTGCATTAAACTGAACTGTTGGCCAAGGGCTTCCCATGGAAATCCCCAAACCACCCACACTGCTGCTAAGACAATGTGTTGTTCTCCCAGATTGACTGTGGTGTCCCATTCCTAAGAACAACACCCACACTCATTGAATACGGAGAAGTCAAGTAGGAATCTACATGGAGCCTTCACCCCTACATTCCAGTGTCTTTGGTAAAGGAAGGCACTCTGCAGGCTACCAAAGGAGAAGCATAAACATCAGACCAGCTACAAAGCATCCGACCCACAAGCGGTCCTACCTGGAAGACATGCTAGGGTATTGGTGGCACACAATTTCTAGGAGTCTAATTTGACTAAAGACCCACTACACAAGATGGAACCCATATCTAACACTGGGTCCAAGTGAGTGACTAAGATCCAGACCACAGCCCACAGACCTAGGGTAAAACCAAATACCACTGGTCTAAAAACAAAGGACAAAAAACCATAAAATGACTCCTAAGTATAATCTGCTACACTCACAGATCAGTGCCTTATACAGAAATCATCAGAGATGCTTCCTCCTGTTAACAGCTGACAAAAAATAGAGTCCCACAGCCACACATTACACAGAGAGACCGTTCTTGAAACACACTGCAGGAAATGAGATGTCCCCATCAAATCCCTCCCCCCGAACTACTGGAACCATGAAGAAGATGAGGCGGAGAGGGTACAGGCCAAAAGGGATAGAGGACACCAGGAGACCAAGGCCCTCTGAATCAACCGAGCAAGGCTCATACGAAGTCACAGAGACTGAAGCAGCAAACACAGAGCCTACACATTCTGCACTAGGTCCTCTGTGTATATACTATAGCTTTCAGCTTAGCATTTTTATGGACTCCTGAGGGTGTGCATGAGTAGGTATCTGATTCTTGTGCCTGCTCGTGGGGTTCTTTTCCTTCTGTTGGGTTGCTTTCTCCAGTCTCAATGTGACTGTTTTTGTTTTATCTTACTATATCTTATTTTGCCAAATTTGGTTGTTATCTCTCAGAAGCCTGCTCTTAAATGAGAGACAGAAAAGGAGTGTATCTTGGAGAGGACGGGAGGAGGTGAAGGACTGGGAGAAACAGAGGGAGGGACACTGTAATAAACATATATTGTATGAGAAAAATATAATAAATGGAAAAAATGTTTCAAAACTAAGTGAAAGGCAGATAAATACAACAACAAATCCAATCAATCCTATTAAAGCACGGCAGTGCTAACACCTCTGTCTCTAGAAAACACAAGCAGGAAAATCCTGCTTATAGAGAAACCAGGACCAGCTGTGGCTGCTGGTGGTAAAAAGGGTTTGTGCAATCAATAAGCTGCCTTTATGAAGACTACAGATACTTTCCCTGCTCTTGCCTGGTCAAATTATGCGTCAATCCAGTGCTCACAAAATTGGCAAAATAAAAAGAAACAAATTACTCATCCTTAACATCAAAAATGGAGATGTTTTCATTTAAAGCACTGAGAGCCCAAACACTACCCAGATCCCTTTGTATTTATTATTACTAAAACTTCATTTTTTAAAACAATTTTTGTTTTTGTGCAACATAACAAAAATTAAAAATAACTATGGAAACATGCTTGAGATAGGCTCAGAAATAAATTAAAATTAAACTAAGAAAAATATTTTACTGGGCAGTGGTGGCTTATGCCATTAATACCAGCACTTGGGAGGCAGAGGCGGGTAGATCTCTGTGAGTTTGAGGCCAGCCTCATCTACAGAGTGAGTTCCAGGACAGTCAAGGCTGTTACACAGACAAACCCTGTCTCAAAAAACCAAATACATATTTGGTAGCCAAGGAATTCTAACATAAATTGCATGTTTCTCAATTTCCCTTGGAAGCCAGAAGGGGTTAAGTCAGAAATGCAATAGATAAAAATTAGATTATTTGAAGGTTGCCACCTAAACATATTTTTGCTACAGCCTGAGAATCCATCACATCAGACTGTCTACAAAATTTAGTAAAACCTAGAGCTTTCCAGCAAGTTCCTCTTCCATGAAACTGTGATGTTTTGATATTAGACATTTTTCTGCTTCATTTACAGTATCAGCTGAATACATATTTGCATACTTGCATCTGAAAACCCAAGTGTTTGCTCCTTTAGGATTTTCAGTGATCATTTCTCAGGTCCTTCTGAATATCCTGTTGCCTAATAAGACAGTCCTCTTAATTTCAAATTTAAAATTGCCCTAAATGTTAAGGATACCAAATCATAAAGTAATAAAGACTTAGGTTTACATTTTTAAAGATTAATGACTACTGACAACTGTTAACGTAATATGTTTAGTTTATTTTTTAGTTTCATGCTTGCGCTTGGTCTGATAAATGATCAGACTTTGGCATGGGAGGTAAAGAAGGCTTGTGCTAGTCTGTACTCTAGGAACAACATTCGCAGGATAAAGACATTATTTTATACAGCATTCCAAGTTTCTAGTGCATAATGCCTCTCCCTAACTAGTGAGCTACAGAGCACATCCCAGGTGTGGGATAGAACCCTGGTTGCTTGAGGAAAATACCCTTGTGACTCTTCTGGAACCTGACTTTGTAAAAGAGCTCTCTATGCATTTCCTTTGTAGAATGCACATTACAATTAAATACTAATAGCGACCCTGCCTATGCCAGCAAGTGTTTTGAGGAATTTTAATATTAATCATGTTACCAAAGCCCTCACTATCCACAGGGTAGAATGACAACATCAAATACTTAATTGGCAACTCTCCTCAGAGAACAAAACGCTTACTTCATAGGCTATAATGGGAATTCCATATTCCCACATCTAAATCACAGGGAACATTACAGAAGAGGAGGCAAAAAGATTGTATGATCTGGAGGATAGGAAGGGGACATATGTAAAATTTTTGCAATATGACATGGCAGTTGGAATTATGAACACCCAATAGCCTGGACACCTGACCTAAACCTGCCCAAAATCATACATGAGGATGGTTACTGGGAAGAAAATATGGCTAACCATGGATGAGACAGAAGGGTGACAAGGGGGTATTGGTAGGTGATTAAACCTATGCAGTGATTAGTTGTCAGTATTTATTAAAAAATAAAATTTAAACCAATAGAATTTAAGGGAGATACAAATGCCTAGTTAGAGGCAGATCTTTTTTCTCATCTGTCTAACCAACTAATTACAAAAGGCTTATACTTTGTTATTGTTCTATTTATTTAATTAAAATCAGATAGTAAACAAAAACATGTTTGTTTTTTTAAAAAAGGAAGAAAACAAAGGAAAAAAATCTACCCAAGCAGAAAAGACCTCTAAAATGAAAACTTGAATTCACTGAAGGAATTGAGAATCACACGAGATAGGAGAATCTTGCCTGCTCATGGAATAGGACATATTACTGTAAAATTATCAGTGTTAAAAGACTTATATGGTTAACTCGAAATCTACGTCAATCAAGTTCCCCATGATTGACTTCGCAGATACGGTAAAGAGAACTCAGTGTTAAAAGACTTATATGGTTAACTCGAAATCTACGTCAATCAAGCTCCCCATGATTGACTTCGCAGATACGGTAAAGAGAACCCTACACACCTACATGGAAACACTAAGAACATGAGCGCATACAGCAAACACAGAGACACAGGGCAGAGCTGCAGTCATTCCCGCTGTGATTTCAGACGACACTGCAAAGACGCAGGAACAGCACCTTGGCAACTGCAAAGGAGGAAACATACAAGCCAAAAAGAGGAGCCGATACAGAACCAGGCCAAGCAGGCGAGTCTCACCAAAATGGCAAAAACACACGCTATGGAATAGACAGCCTCGTCACCCATTGGTATTGGGAAAAGTCAACACCCACATATAAAGCAATGAAAATGAATTCAAACTCACAATTCCAGTGAACTGGGAAGCCTGCAGAGTAGCGCAGGGGGAAACAAGTCCACATACAGTCATAGGGATGTAGATTCTGAACGGCACTGCAAATTAACAGGACACAAGAGCAAGAGGCAAAAAAAGAAAGATGGCATGCAATTAAAATCTTGTATGGAGATGGTAATGATTAAAAGTATAAAGAAAGAGCTTACAGAATGGAGAAATTTGCTAGCAAACTTTTCATATAATCTGTGTGTATATATTGTCAAGAATGAAAAAAACACAAAACAAAGTAAATAATATTGTAACCAATAAATGAGAAAAAAAGAGATTCTGTTAAAGCAATTAAAAGGGAGCTCTTGAACCCCAGACAGATGGCTGAGAGGCCAACAGGGGACTGATCCAGACTCCATGAATGTAGTATCAGTGAGGGGGCCTCGGAGATCTCTGGGGCCTTGGGTAGTAGATCAATGTTTACCATGGTGTACGAATGAACTCTGGGAACCCATTACACATGGAGGGATGCTCTCTCAGACTGGACACATGGGGAAGAGTTCTTGCCCTGGATGAAATGACAGATTCTGGAGATCCCCCCAAGGAGGGTCTCACCCTCCCTGGGGAATGATGTGGGGGTCTGGTGGAGGGTTGGGGAAGGAACAAGGGAGGAAGTGTTGGAGAGGGAGCTGGGATTGACATGTGAAGCATGCATGTTTCTAAGACATAATTTATATTAATAAAAAATTTAAAAAACAGCCAAAATGTACACAGTCAGTGTGCACACCCAAGGTCCTAAGCAACAACAAACACTGGAGACAACGCAGGAGGAAGAGCAGAGACACAGTGTCAGTGGGAATCCAAATCACTGTGGCCACCAGACAAGTCAGCGTGCGGCTTCCTGGACAGCCAAACAAGCAAAGAGAGAACCCAGAGAAGACACTACTCAAGTTTATAAAGAACTGAAATGTACTGCAGAATATCAACAAACCAGAAAGGAACTGTGAAAGACACATAAGAAATAGAGGGCAAAAAAAAAAAAAAAATCAACACAATTATTTGTGTTTATATTTTCCTTCAGGGATTTCTTGAAATGTATGTGGATATTGTTCCCCAAACCGGACATGAAAATAGGATGTAGCTTAAAAAAAAAAGAACAAATAAAATGTTCTAAAATCAAACATATACATATATATGTACATGAATATATATTTTTTTCTATGAAAGGATTTACTTCAAATATAAGGATACAAAATGCTAAGAGTGAAGGAAGTGTTTTAATAAGATATGCTGTGATGAGGATTGGTCATAATTATGGTAGGTAACAGAAAAAAAAAAAAACCTAACAAATGATGGTCCATTTTCCAGAAAGCTATGTGAACAATATGAATGCATTTCACAAAAGAGTTTCCAAATACATAAAGCAATCAATGACAGAACTGTAGGAAGCAAATAAGATAGTGATGCAGGGAGGTTTCAACATTCTTCATTCAGTGATGTTAGAAATTAGCCAGGGCATGGGAGAGAAAGACCATGAACAGCTCAGGAAACCAATCACGCCTAGCAGGACTCCAGAGACTCATCCCCATAAGAGCAGAAGATGCCCAGTCTTCTCCAACTTCAAGCAACATGCTCCAGTATAAGCATGTCTTAGAAATAGAACAAGTCTTCCAACCCAGTAAAGATCAATGTTTAAAAAGAATCTTCTCAGAGAACTTTTAATGCTGAAGTCAACAGTAGATTAAAAAAAAACAGAAGAATACAGAAGAGACATGTGAATTCTGACTCACTGATGGCATGTTCTCATTCAAACAGGAAGAAACATAAAAGAAAGTTTGTACTCTAGGTAATTTGTGCCAAGTCCATATAGGCATCTTTCATATAAATGGAAGAAATGTGAGAAACCACAAAGACTTCAAAAATTATGAGAAAAGGACCAAATCCAGAGGTGACTTCAAAATGTATTAAAATTATAGCAATGCAAACAGTGGAGAGTTGACATGAACAGATGACAAGGGCTATCAATGGACAGACAATGCAGTCAGAGTTTGATATTTTTTTTGTTTGTTTGTTTTGGTTTTATGAGACAGGGTTTCTCTGTATTGTTTCGGAAGCTATCGGTCCAGCCTGGCCTCGAACTCACAGAGATCCGCCTGCCTCTGCCTCCCGAGTGCTGGGATTAATGGCGTGCGCCACCACCGCCCGGCTTGTGCAGAGATATTAGGCAAATCTTATCAAAAATCCTGCTGGCATCATTTTAGGAAACGGAGAAATTAACCCTACGTTGAAGAACCTGAAAACAAAACTTCAAAATGCTCCAAAAACTGAGAACAGGAAAGACCAAGACGCATCAATAGTTCTCACTAAACATTATAATCAAATTATAGTAATGAAAACCTTTATTACTGGTCTGAAAGCAGTATCAGTGGCATGAATGAAAGAGATACAGTGAGCATCACTCGCATGCAAAGCCAAATAAAATTTTACTTATATTTTCCTTTGAGGCTGTCATAGAGAGCAATAGGATAATCCTGAGATGGTCCTCAGCAGAATTCTCTGGAATCAACTCAGGTGAATTAGAATGTAGCAAAAGTCAATGCCATGTCCTATATCCACTGTCACCCAAGCCCTTCCCCATGCCTTCCTCAGCCCCTTTACATACCCGGCTCCTTTGGTACAGTCTTCTCTCTCTACAGGATCCGGAGCTTATTGTCTGGACAGGTGAGCAGCACAGGTTGAGCAGTGTGAGACCTGCCTAATGGAAAGAGAGTCTTCAGGAAGCACCTGGAGCTTTCCATGGACCAAACAGGGAAAAGGCCGACGCCTGCAAAAGGATAAACACATGAAGGAGAGAGAAAACATCAGGAAAGAATGCCTCTCGTCCTCTGAGGATTTCACTTTACTCTGTGGGATGTGAGACCCATTTAAACACCCAGCTCACACACATGCAGAGTTTTTCAAGGTACCCTGAGCAGGGGAAAGGGAGGCTGCAAGAAAACTACTCTTACCCACGGAAACCAGACTGTTGTACTTCGACGGGAGATCTCTGTGAGGAACGCTGCGAGCAGGGTCTAGGCTGCCACTCCTGCAGCAAGAAAGGAGTCCACAGTCACAGCACGGAGTGCTATCAAATCCTGGAATGAAAAAACAACAGATTGGCCCCGTGTGCGTGGACAGAGTGCTTTTCTTGAACCATGGAGACATTTTTTTCTGATCTAGGTCAGTGAGCATAATTATTCAAAAAGTGCTCCTCGTTTCCCTCCTCCAATAAACTCCAAATGAGTTTGTTGACTCATGGTTCCTGTTTCATTGCCAGGAGCGGCAACAAAAGAACAACACAGGCCTTTAATCCCAGCACTCGGGAGGCAGAGGCAGGAGAATCTCTGTGAGCTCGAGGCCAGCCTGGTCTACAGAGGGAGTTCCAGGGCAGGCTCCAAAACAATACGGAGAAACCCAGTCTCAAAAGACCAAGAAAAACAAAAACAAACAAACAAAAAGAACAACAGAGCCTCGGTCCAGCAGTCTTCCTTAGGAGCCGCAGGGAAGTTATGCAGCATCAGCAACTTTGAAGCAAGCATTTTTTTTTTTTTTTTTTTTTTTTTAGCAGAAGCTAAGATAGACTGCTATACCTGCCTGAGGCGGATCCGGCACACATGGACGGCTAAGGTAAAAGGTTAGCAGGAGGATGTTCTCCGTAAACACGCAGTTTGAACAGAGGCTGAGCAAGGCAGGTTAGCTAGGACAATCCGACCCCTGGTTCCTGGAGTTGAGTTGGCTAGTTTTCCATGGGGACCCTCCATCAAGGAAATCAGATTTCTAGTTCACCCTGGAAACGGCCTCGGCAAGAGTACAAGATGGAGGGACCTCTGCCCTGTCTTGTCCTGTCACGGCGTCGTTTCTGATTTCGATCAAATCCGCACGGGTCCCTCACGCGACTGCTACTGAGCTCTCTGCTTGCCAGGGAAAGCATGCCTGAGGAGCTTCGCAGCTGCTGCTGCAATGATAGCAGCGAAGAGAACCGTGTCTGCAGACAGCATAGAATGCAAACGCTCTACCAGGTCACGCCACGAAAATATTCCTATGACAGCCATAGGATAAATGAAACAAGCGCGACAAGCCCCCGCCCCGTTCACAGGATCGCGAGCTTCCCGACAATGGCTAAGGTTCCCGCGACGGAATCCGAAGAGCAGGTTCGCCTGCGAGCGCACCCCAGCTCCGCTCCCGCAGGCCCCAGCCCCGCAGCCCCTTCTAACCCACGAGGTGCCAGGGCCGCGGGTGGGGGAGGTTCCAGGGTCCCCGGGGCCTCGGCTCCGGCCACACTGCGCTGCTGCTGGCGGCTGACTTCCCCGGGCCGCCCCGCGTGGTACCTGTGGCTCCCGAGTTCTCGGAGCCTCCTAGAGACGCCAGCCTCCTCCGAACCCGGAATGCGGACCTCGGAGCTGCCCCAGGCCCCGCTGTGAATGGCGGGTTGTCCTGTCACTCTGCCTCGGAGCTCCTCTCCGGCCCCGCCCACTAGACGCCGGTTCCGGTTACGTGATTCCTCCGAATCCGCTCACGCCTGGCACCTAATCGTTCTTCATTAGTTTTCCAGACCCATCTAAGGTTTTTTTTTGCTTGTTTCTTTTTCTTTTTCTTTTACCATGTCTCCTCTGATTGACAGGTGTCCCCGCCCCGACGCCCCCCCCTCCCACTCTGTCCCCGCCGCCTTCCCCTGGGCTGCAGCTGTCAGGCTGCCCTGGACCCACACACGCTTGCAGCAGCCTAGACCAGAGCTGCATCCGAGAGGACGCTGCACCCCGGGGTCTGACTCTGTGTTCTGATCCCGTAAGATACAAAGTTATCCCGCCTGAGTTCTCATTTTAGGATTGAAAACCCCGCCCCCCCCGGGCTAAAAAACGCACCGCAAAAGACAATCAACACCCTAAATTCTGATGCTCAGGTCCCATCCCCAGAACAAATTGAAATTAAGGCAAAATGCCCTTTGACTCGATTCTCAACCTATAGCTGTGTCCCTTATGGAAAGCAGTTTAAATGATATCCAAGGTACAGCACACACACACACACACAAACAAGAGTCATGTTGAAGGAGGTCAAAGCATATAAAGCCCCCGAGGTGGGCTCGAAAGAGGATAAGTAGAAAATGATTGGTGGGCAGGAAAACAGAGCTTGAAGGAAATGGAGACAATGCAGGACACGAACACTGAATTCAACACATAGTTAGAAACAGCAAAAACAATCCAAAGTGAAATAAAACAGGAAACTGAAAATGCAATAGCCTAGTAATAAAAAAAAAATCAGTTAGAAGACAGATTATCAGGGTTTGAGGACAAAGTAGAGTAGCTGGATGTCTCATTCAAAGAAAATGAAGAATTAAGAGAAAATGCTCCGTGCAACTAGCACTATTAAAAGTAGAAGTGAAACCCAGCTGCACACACTTCTTGTATAAAGTATCCTAAATTTTAAAGACAGTAACTCACTCTGGAGAGCTCCCCATGGGAAGCTGGATAATCATTTCCACCACTACCCAAACCAAGGGACACTAAGAAAACATCTTTACACTTCCCTCACAGTCCACTATTGCCAGTTAAATATCTGGAATTACACTGTTAGTGATATTGACCTGGGGGAAGGCACCTCAGGAACTCAGGATTTGGAAAGGAAATAGGGTCTGAGGAGTCAGTGTTCAGTCAGCCCATTAACAGTCTAGTGCCGAATTCACCCTGGGCTGTACTGCTCTAACTGCTAGACGGTGGCATTGTCATTTTTGCTAACCCCCAAGGAACTTCGTCTTCCAGAAATCATTTAAAAGGTGTTTGTAGGTAAAACATACAAAATTTAATTTAAAAAATGCAGCGGTGAATGCAGAATCTCATTGCCTCTCTAGATACAGAAAATAAATAATGTATGTGGTCACAGCCTTAAACAAGTCAGCTGCGAGGTGCCATCTAAGGCTCTGGGGATATTGGGGAAGAAGAGGGACAGGGAAATAAAGAGTGGAAGATGGGCAACAGCCATGACCTGCCATGCTCTAAACTCCACACAGCTGTTGTAATCAGTAAATCAGAGCACCTGTACTAAGCTCACTCAAGACCTGTCCTAGACACGGTCAGTCTAGGAACAGGAGAGGCTCACAGGACCACACCCTTTACCTCCCAACCGTGACTATGAATAGACTTTAATAGAAGGGAATCACTGTCTTTAGTTGTGTCACTTCTGCTGAGTGTGTCAAGCTCCAAATCATAACACCAAACCCACAGTCTTACAGATTACCCTGGTTAATCTTGGTGGGTCAAAAAAATGAATAGAAATGAACTAGAGTGAGAGACAGAGAGGGATAGGGAAGGGAATACACACACACACACACACACACACACACACACACACACGCAGAGAAAGAAAGAGAGATAGAGTTATGGAAAAGGATTAGGATTCAGGATTATAGAGCATAAGGGATGAGAGCACACTTAGTAAGTGAGGTATATCATGTGAAAGGGAAAAATGATGACAATAATAAAAATGACCACATCAGTATACTAGCTTCATTAAAAGTCTGGAAGCCTCACTTTCTTCTCATAGGAAGGATTGCTTTAAGTAGCTTCAGTATCAGTTAGTCTCTGAAGTTCTGACAGAAGCCTGTGATGAATTAATCTTCGGTGAAACTTGTTCTTTTATTTTTTTTCTCCCTCTTATTTTTTTGAATGGGGGTGTGCTTATTACTGCCTCATTGCTGGTTAATTATCAGTTGATTAATTTCATGTTGGTGTAATTTTGGTATGTGAAATGAGTCAGAGTATTTGTCCATTTCTTTGGAATTTCCAATGTAGCTTCCTGGAGAAGCTTTATATTTGTGCCAGGTATTGGTGGCGCACACCTTTAATTCCAGCACTTGAGAGGCAGAGACAGGTGGGTCTCCATGATTTCGAGGCCATCCTGGTCTACAGAACAGGTCTTAGAGGCTTTTTAAAAATCAACATAAGCCTTTGGAAGTTAAAACCTTAAATATTTAGTTTTGTAAATTTGGCCATAGATATCTCTCTCTCTCTCTCTGATTCTGAAATTAGCTGAAGCATTCCATAGGCAAGGAGTTCAGACTTGACCTTTCTACTAGTTAACACTGGCTACGAGGGAAAAAAGACAGAGGCAAATGCAATGGTTCTAGTACATTCCAATTCACACCAACACTTAAAGTTCATCCACGCATACATGAACACCTATTGTTTAAAGGCATGCCAGTCATAATCTTCAGTATATAATGAATTCTTAAATGACTAAGAAGAGAGACCAACAGCAAAGAAACTGAGAGTCATTATCACGGTTTGTTTCTTTCATTTATTAGTGAAAGGATTCTTCACAGATACATAAAGCCATTTATGGGATGGTGGAATGTGGTCAAAGTACATAAGATGCTTGAAACAACATGTCTCTGTAAAAATCAGCATTGCACAATGGCTTAAAGGATGCCTAATGATGGTGAGCACATGTGTTTCTTCTTTTGTGAATTTTCTATTTAGTTCTATGGCCCGGTTTTCATGGGGCTGCTTATTTTCTTAATGTTTATTCTTTTAAGTTCCTCATGCGTTCAAGACAATTGTATTGTCAAGTGAGTAGCTGTGTATCAGTAACAAATTGAAAAAGAAGAAAAAACAATTGATAAAATACATAATGAATTTTATGAATTCATAAATCAGAATAAAGTCACAACTGTTGCAGGAACATGGGCTGAACTCTGGAGATCCTTGTGTCATACGAAATAAATCCCGGTTTGAAAATAATATTGCCTGCTTCTTCCGCATATGTAGAATTGGTTCTCGTGTGTGTGTGGGGGGAGGGGTTGGTAAAGAGGAGAGGACCTTCAGAGGGAGGGGAGAAGAGAGTGGGTAATAGAACACATGAGACATAAAAGTAGAAATGAGAGAGGTACAGAGGTGGAACCAGTGGTTGCCTTGTGGTGGGAACTTCACCGTCACAGCAAGATGAGTAAGAAAAAAGTATGCCATGTATGAAATGCCTAAACAAAACCCTTTACTGACCTCAAGAATGATATACTGTGGAGAAACTTGAATTCTACCAAAGGTTTTCTTTACATTTTTAAAAAATGTAATTCTGTCTTATTTAACTCGCTGACAGAAAAGACAGAACAGTTTGTTCACCTTTGAAAACATTTTTTGATGAATTTAAAAATGTCCAGTGAATGCCATGGCATGCCTTTAATCCCAGCACCCTGGAGATACACAAAGCAGGTGGATTTCTCTGAGATAAAGCCAGGCTAGTCTACATAGAGAATCCCAGGGCATTTAAGGCTATTCAGTTAGACCCTGGCTTAGAACAAAAAGCATGTCTGAAGGCTGAGAGATGATCAGGGGTTAATGTACTGGCTTCTCTTCCAGAGGAAGCAGATTCTGTTTGCAGCAGCCACACAGCACATCATAAAAGCACCTTAATTCCAGCCTAGGGATGTGCTGCTCTCTCTCTCTGGCTTCTGTGAGCACTGCTTGTAGATGGACCATAGACATACATGTAGACAAAACACCCCTACACATAAAATAAAAACAAATGAATCTTAAAAAAAAAAGTTGAGCGGAACTGCCTCCGTTGATGTTAGCACTGCCTGTATCACACCCCCTAAAGGAAACAGAGGCGCTTCTATTTGTCTTTAACAACTGACATCTGAGATCTGCATATTGGAGCCTTCGCTTTAAAGTGACTAGCGTAACACGCTGCTGCCTGCTACTCATCAATTTTTATTGCTGCTAATGGTTTGTTTGAAAGTGCTGGGGGTGAATCCCCAAGCCCCACACATGCTAGGCATGTGTCTAAAAGACCCAGATACCAATCTAGTCTTACTAGCTGTTATTGAAGTCTTTGTTCCAAAATGTGCTCTGCCTGCCTCTTAGTATTTACAGTGGAAGCACCAGCCTATGATGTACCCCAGGAGCCTCGCTGTAATCTGGAGAAAGCAGAGCAGACAGACCAAGAAAGAGAAGGCAACAAACATCCGTGTATAATTCCTACGTAATGAGAAATGGAGAAAGCTTCTAGGAGAGTGGAACTGATATTTGAACGGGAAAAATCCTGTTCTGCAAGGGAATCGGGTAGGGCTGTGGGCTGTGAGAGATGTCTTGGTGGTTAAGAGCACTTATCATTCTTTCAAAGGAGTAGAGTTCAATTCCAAGTACCCACATAGTGGCTCACAGCTTCCTGTAACTCCAGCTCCATAGGTCTAATGCTCTCTTCTGGCCTCTGGGTGTACCAGCCATGCATGTGATGCACAAACTTACAAACAAAACACCTATGCACATATTTTTTAAAAAGGGAATTGGTAGAATGATAGAGGCATGTGTAGCAATACAAAGTACAA